CGGGCCCTTGGTCTCCCCTCCTCCTCTCCTCCTGTGTTCGGTCCGACGTTTCCTCCTCCGGACTTAGCCCCGGCTGTGTTCCCTCGTTCTCAGTCTCCTCCGTCTCCCGCTCCGTCTCCCACTCCTCTCTCCCACACTTGGGCCTCTCGTCCTCCTCGTGCTCGTCCCTCGTCACCTGTCCGTGACCTTCGTACCGTGTTGTTTCGTCCTAGTCCTCCTCGTTCTCCTCCGTCTGTTCTTCCTCGTCCTCCTGAGTCGTCCCTCACTGCCTCCCTGTCCACTCCGGTCACTGACTACTACCGCACGTACCGCCCCACTCTCTCTCGTGTTCTCGCCTCTCTTGTTACAGACCCTCGTGCCTCTCCTTCCTCCGTCGCGGTCCTCACTGCCGCTGTCACAGACTTTACTGCTACGCGTCGCCTTGACTACGCCACTCGTGTTGTGGCCGCTCCTCCTGTCCGTCCTCTGTCCGCCGGGGGTGAGTCTGCCCTTGGCTGTGCCGTCCTAGAGGACAGACAGTTTGAGCTAGAGTTCCTGGCAGCCGCTTCACCTCATCTCTGTGCCATGCTGCTCGCTCCTGAGGGATGCGGAGATAGCTACTACAACGGGAGCTAGACTACGGGCTAGGCACGGGTGCTCGTGTGATCTCTGCGTTCGTTGGTCCTTAGTCGTTTTCCTAGTGTACACACTGCTTGCTAGTTCACAGAGAGAATCGGCAAGAGTTTCACTAGGAAAGATTGACAACAAATGATACAATAAAGTTGGCAAGGCAAGACTACATCAGAGCTAGCATGCAAGCAGGACGACTGCCAGCGCAGCACGGTCGACCACGTGCCAGCACGACCTGGTCGACCGCGCCCCAGCAGTGCAGAGTCGCGGCTTGCCAACACTGCAGGTCGACGGCGTGCCAACGTCGCAGGTTGACGGCGCGCCGACGTTGCTCCCGCAGGACAGCAGCGCACCTACTTCGCAGATGATTGGCGTGCAGTGCCTCGTCACCTGCACAGCGCACACACCACATCAACTACGTGCTGACGACTGCCTCTGATGCACCACGTCGACCTCGGGATACCATCACCGAGGTCGTCCTCGCCAAAACCACCCGGGCGAACGTCGCATGCCTCCGCAGAACCTCGTCACCCAGGTAACCTGGTCGACCGAGCAACCAGGTCGACCAGAGGCTCCTGTGCGTGCCCGTCGACCACCCAGGTCGACGACCACTTCCGGTCGACCTCCCCAGGTCGACCACTGCCTCTGGTATGTGCCGGTCGACCTCCCAAGTCGACGGCCACCTCCAGTCGACCTCCCCAGGTCGACCACTACCCCCTGGTCGACCAGCTCCAAGTCGACGTCACTCCAGGTCGACCAGAAGGTCTGGTCGACTCCTCAGGTCGACCAGAAGGGCTGGTCGACTTACCGGGTCGACCAGAAGGTCTGGTCGACTTCCCAGGTCGACCAGAAGGGCTGGTCGACTTACCGGGTCGACCAGAAGGTCTGGTCGACTTCCCAGGTCGACCAGAAGGGCTGGTCGACTTACCGGGTCGACCAGAAGGTCTGGTCGACTTCCCAGGTCGACCAGAAGGGCTGGTCGACTTACCGGGTCGACCAGAAGGTCTGGTCGACTTCCCAGGTCGACCAGAAGGGCTGGTCGACTTACCGGGTCGACCAGAAGGGCTGGTCGACTTCCCAGGTCGACCAGAAGGGCTGGTCGACTTCCCGGGTCGACCAGAAGGTCTGGTCGACTTCCCAGGTCGACCAGAAGGGCTGGTCGACTTCCCGGGTCGACCAGAAGGTCTGGTCGACTTCCCAGGTCGACCAGAAGGGCTGGTCGACTTACCAGGTCGACCAGAAGGTCTGGTCGACTTCCCAGGTCGACCAGAAGGGCTGGTCGACTTACCAGGTCGACCAGAAGGTCTGGTCGACTTCCCAGGTCGACCAGAAGGTCTGGTCGACTGCCCAGGTCGACCACCCGAAGTTGGCGCCCTCACGAAGTCGGCGCCCATGCAGTGGCTCCCCGTGCAGGTCGACCAACCTCGTCGACCAACTCGCCCACTGCTGCAGGTCGGCTGCACCCTACACCCGACCACGAAGTCGGCACCGCCCAAGCGAGGACGGGGCCAACATACAACTCCCGTTGACAAGGGAGACCCCGACGCTCCTGACATACCTACTCCTCGCACTTACGCTGAGGCAGTGTCAGGGCCTTGGGCCTCTCAGTGGAGAGCTGCCATGGACGCAGAGATGGCCTCCTACAGGTCCACAGGCATCTATGTTGACGAGGTTCCCCCCCCAGGGGCGAACATTGTTGACGGCATGTGGATCTTCAAGGTGAAGCGGCCGCCGGGATCTCCTCCAGTCTTCAAGGCACGCTACGTGGCTAGAGGTTTCAGTCAGCGTGAGGGAGTTGACTTCTTTCAGACCTTTGCGCCCACCCCGAAGATGACCACTCTTCGGGTGTTACTGCACGTAGCAGCGCAGAGAGACTACGAGCTACACTCTCTCGACTTCTCCACTGCCTTCTTGCAGGGCAGCCTACACGAGGAGATCTGGCTGCGTCGTCCTCCGGGCTTCACTGGCACTTTCCCGCCTGGGACCCAGTGGAGCCTCAGACGACCGGTCTACGGTCTCCGCCAGGCACCCCGTGAGTGGCACGACACTCTCCGCTCTACTCTGTCCGACCTTGGGTTTGAGCCGTCTTCCGCCGACCCGTCGCTGTTTGTTCGTCGTGGGCGCACACCTTTCTTTGTTCTTGTCTACGTTGACGACCTGGTTTTTGCCACAGCCGACACAGTCGCACTGGCGGAGGTGAAGTCCGAACTGCAGAAGAGACACACCTGCACTGACCTTGGGGAACTGCGCCGCTACCTTGGCCTGCAGATCTCCAGGGACAGAGCCGCTCGCACCATCACTCTGACTCAGTCACACATGGTGCAGCAGGTCCTTCAGCGGTTCGGGCTTCAGCACTCCTCTCCTCCTCCCACCCCTCTTGCTGTAGACCACAGACTCACTGGGCCTTTTCTTGACGAGCCGTTCGAGCCCAGTGGTCCCTACGCAGAGTTGGTGGGCTGCCTCATGTACCTGATGACGTGCACTCGCCCGGACCTCGCCTTCCCTCTTAGCATCCTTTCTCGCTTTGTTGCGACAGGGAGACACCGTCCTGTTCACTGGGCGGCGGCTAAGAGGGTGGCGAAGTACCTCGGCGCGACATCAGACATGGGGCTTGTACTTGGAGGGACACAGCCAGTTGTACTCACCGGTCACTGCGACTCCTCCTACGCCGACGACGTTGAGTCACAGAGGTCTACACAGGGTTACTGTTTCAGCCTGGGCTCTGGAGCTGTTTCGTGGAGGTCTACTCGGTCCTCCTCTGTTGCGACTTCTACCGCAGAGGCCGAGATCTACGCTGGAGCCCTCGCTGCACAGGAGCTACGCTGGTTGACCTTCTTGCTCACTGACCTAAGTGAGCGGCCGAGCTCTGCACCGACCTTGTTTGCTGACAACAAGGCGATGATTCTCCTGTGTCGTGAGCCTCGACTGGAGAGCAGGGTGAAGCATATCGACGTCAGGTACTTCCTCCTTCGAGAGTTGCAGAGACGTGGACAGGCACGTCTGGACTTCGTGGCCTCCGAGGCTAACACTGCAGACATCTTCACCAAGGCTCTTCAGCCTTGTGACCACCGCCGGTTTTGTCTGCAGTTAGGCCTTGTTGAGACTGGGTCTAGTAGACTGCAGTAGTGAGTTCTTGCCTCTTGCTTGTTTGTACCATATATATATTAGCTTGTACACTCTTGAACTGGCCTTGTGGCCCCTTGTTTGTGCTCAGACTGTGTGGTGACGTTGAGATCCACCCTGAGCTTTGTTTTCTCGCTTGTTTGTGACTGGTCTTGTGACCTTAGGTTGTGTTCTGTTACTTGGCATTCCTCACTTAGGCTATGGGGGTGTGTCAAATGTTATAGCCCTTAGTGGGTCATACTATATGGGGTACAAACAGATAGGGTTAGGTACTTGTACCCCAACTCAATCAATGCAATTCATTCCGCTGTTCTCGGTTACTAAGATAATTGTACAATTATTGTAGGCCCTGAAGTCTTATAAAGAGGACTACAGTAAAATCTAACAGCACAAAGTACCTATTTCTTTATGTTATGTATTTCTTCAACACTTTACTATGTTTCTCCAGAGGAAACATACCGTACATATAAGCTCTGGAAAGAAACGAGAAAAGAACCCTAAACACGAAACAAGAGGCCATAAGTTGCACACGAGGCTTGTAGTACAGAATACTGATAAAAGACATAACAGAGCACTCGCTAAGCGGGAATGTTTGTGCGTTGTTCTGTTTCCCGCGTTGAACATCACCACCGCCCCTAGGAGTTCCGTTCAGCGGTTCGGTTCCGCCCCATGCCTGACATCCCCGCCGCGCCAATCTAATACGGTAGCTAGCTGCAGTCAGCCCGTTGGTCCGTCTGTTGGGGCAGGACGTCTCAGGGTTGAGCTTCGTTTTCCCACCCACGCTTAATCGCCTCTCCTTGCAGTAGACATTACTCTGCTAGCATGCAAGTTTGAGGGTCACTGTTTGTTTTTGGTCTGGCCTGAGCTGTTTTCAGCCCTCAACCCGCACGGTTTTTCTGAAAAATAGCTAGGCAACCCAGCGACAACGTCTGACGCAATGTGCATTGCGACTTGATCATGCGGGCTCATTTCACCCATCACCATCCGTTCCCCTTCCCATCATGCCCTGTGTCAAATCCATCCCCACACCACACCCATTTCAGAAAAATCAGGCCACATTCCAGTGCCATTCCAGTGCCATTCCAGGGCCATTCCAGTGCCATTCCAGTGCCGTTGCAAGAATGCTGAATGCACATCCTCGCTCAACGCGAGAGACCCCGTGAAGGCAGAAAGCTAACCGAAACTTTATCCTTCCACTTGCGTACACAGAATCGTGACCGTAGGCCATCGATGTATTGCTGATCCTTGCGATACGAGTCCAGCACAAGATGGATGACAGTAGCGTGCGCCTTTCGTTGCGACACGGAGCGTCAGTCGCGGAGATATCGAAGCGCCTCGAGTCGTTCTTCGGCAATCTCGAGGCTTCTATCAGCCGCCCTGTAGGATCCACGACGGCGGTACGTTCCAACACCCGCGGCTCGAAGCCCTCAACTGAAACCACCACTCAGGCTGATGCTGCACCGACGAAAATCCACACGCCTTCCGCTGCCTGCGAGAGAAGTAGCCTCCGCAGAGGCGTCGCGTGCGTCGTCAACGCCGCCGGCGAGTCAGAGGGTGGGGGAGCCGTTGGGGTCCTGAGGATACGGAAAGTAGAAGTAGTGGCGGAAGCGGATTTCCGCACGGCTGCAGAGTTGCGCATACAAGCGCCGCCGCTCGCAGAGCTGCGCACTGTGCCCGCTGCAGTGGGGGAACTGCGCACAGACGATGCTTTGCGCGCACCGGGTGATTTGGTAACAGACGCTACCGTGACGGGAACGCGCATCGCGTTGGCGCCGGAGTTGAGCTGCCCGCATTTGTCGGACCTTTATGAGGTTGGGCGCGAGTTGGGACGCGGACATTTCGGGGTCGTGCGACTGTGCGAAGACCGTGCGACGGGCGAGCGATTCGCGTGCAAGACGATACTGCTGAGCGGCGTGCGGGTGAGTCGCACTAAAATGTTTCTTTTGCGTACTCCGCTTCCCTCCCCCCTTCCCTCCCCCCATCCCCGGACCCCCCGCACACGCGACAAACCCGTTGTTCTTTCTCTGCGTTCCTCCCCACCTTCGTTCCCCTCATTTCGCCTCCCCAAGCCTCCGTGCCGCCACCCTCCCAGCGAATGCCTCTCTCTCGCCTCCTTCCCTCTCTCCCTACATCCCTCCGGTGACTTCGTGAAGCCGCGGGGGGAAGTTTCGTCCCTGCTTCTCTCAAAGAAGGCCCCCCCTCCCCTTCCCCACCCCCCCACCCTTTCCCCCTTTTTCCGCCAGTAAACCTTTCCGCCCGCACGCACACTCCCTCTTCCCCAGCGATCTTATAGAGCTGAAGGGGCAAGTCTCTTCTTTAAAGACGCCTTTCAAGCCTCTTCCTCCCCTTCTTTCCCCTCCTCCCCCCCTTCCCTCTCCCCCCCCCCCCCCCCCCCCCCCCTTTTGGTCTCTCTCGTCCCCAGCGCCGCAGCGATCTCATGGAGCTGAGGGCGGAAGTGCTGTCGCTGCTGCGCCTGCAGGAGGGGGAGGGGGAACGGGGGGGAAAAGAACAGGGGGGAGGGGAGCGGGGAAGGGGGGAATGCGGAGCAGGCAGCGCGGATGGGGAGCGGGAGGAGCTGGCGTTCGTACGGCTGTACGAGGTGGTGGTTGAAACGCGGACGGCGTTACATCTCATCTTGGAGTACTGCCCGGGTGGCGATCTGTTTGACCTCGTTATAAGGCAGAAGCGCCTTACCGAAGCACAAGCTGCCGCTGTATTCAGGTGCGTAGTCCCAGCAACGATCTGTTCTACGTCGTTATAGGGCAGAAACGGATTACTGGAGAAACTGCATTCAGGTAGGCGATCACCCCACATATATTCATCCCCCCTTGCCAACCCCCACCTCCCCCCCTCGCCCCCTCCCAACCCCCACTTTTCCCGCCACTCGGAAACATGAAATGACATGCAAAAAGAGGGTTAAAAAGAGACGTGCGGCGTCCTATTGTGAGCCCCGTGCGTCCCCCCTCGCCCTTCTTCACTCCCCTTGCCTCCTACCCAGTTTCTCTCTTCCTCTTTCTCCCTTCCTCTCGCACTTTGCTCCCCCCGTCCCCTTCCTCCCGCCCTCTCATGAGTGTATCATTCGCCCATGTCTGAAATGTACTGTCCTCTATGCGCGGTGCACGCAGCTGCCCCTGGCGCGGTGCACACAGCTGCCCCTGGCGCGGTGCACACAGCTGCCCCTGGCGCGGTGCACACAGCTGCCCCTGGCGCGATGCACACAGCTGCCCCTGGCGCGATGCACACAGCTGCCCCTGGCGCGATGCACACAGCTGCCCCTGGCGCGATGCACACAGCTGCCCCTGGCGCGATGCACACAGCTGCCCCTGGCGCGATGCACACAGCTGCCCCTGGCGCGGTGCACACAGCTGCCCCTGGCGCGATGCACACAGCTGCCCCTGGCGCGATGCACACAGCTGCCCCTGGCGCGATGCACACAGCTGCCCCTGGCGCGATGCACACAGCTGCCCCTGGCGCGATGCACACAGCTGCCCCTGGCGCGATGCACACAGCTGCCCCTGGCGCGATGCACACAGCTGCCCCTGGCGCGATGCACACAGCTGCCCCTGGCGCGATGCACACAGCTGCCCCTGGCGCGGTGCACACAGCTGCCCCTGGCGCGATGCACACAGCTGCCCCTGGCGCGATGCACACAGCTGCCCCTGGCGCGATGCACACAGCTGCCCCTGGCGCGATGCACACAGCTGCCCCTGGCGCGATGCACACAGCTGCCCCTGGCGCGATGCACACAGCTGCCCCTGGCGCGATGCACACAGCTGCCCCTGGCGCGATGCACACAGCTGCCCCTGGCACGATGCACACAGCTGCCCCTGGCGCGATGCACACAGCTGCCCCTGGCGCGATGCACACAGCTGCCCCTGGCGCGGTGCACACAGCTGCCCCTGGCGCGATGCACACAGCTGCCCCTGGCGCGATGCACACAGCTGCCCCTGGCGCGATGCACACAGCTGCCCCTGGCGCGATGCACACAGCTGCCCCTGGCGCGATGCACACAGCTGCCCCTGGCGCGATGCACACAGCTGCCCCTGGCGCGATGCACACAGCTGCCCCTGGCGCGATGCACACAGCTGCCCCTGGCGCGATGCACACAGCTGCCCCTGGCGCGATGCACACAGCTGCCCCTGGCGCGATGCACACAGCTGCCCCTGGCGCGATGCACACAGCTGCCCCTGGCGCGATGCACACAGCTGCCCCTGGCGCGATGCACACAGCTGCCCCTGGCGCGATGCACACAGCTGCCCCTGGCGCGATGCACACAGCTGCCCCTGGCGCGATGCACACAGCTGCCCCTGGCGCGATGCACACAGCTGCCCCTGGCGCGATGCACACAGCTGCCCCTGGCGCGATGCACACAGCTGCCCCTGGCGCGATGCACACAGCTGCCCCTGGCGCGATGCACACAGCTGCCCCTGGCGCGATGCACACAGCTGCCCCTGGCGCGATGCACACAGCTACCCCTGGCGCGATGCACACAGCTGCCCCTGGCGCGATGCACACAGCTGCCCCTGGCGCGATGCACACAGCTGCCCCTGGCGCGATGCACACAGCTGCCCCTGGCGCGATGCACACAGCTGCCCCTGGCGCGATGCACACAGCTGCCCCTGGCGCGATGCACACAGCTGCCCCTGGCAAGGCGAGGACGTGAGGGCGTGAGAGTGTGCGGGCGTGAGGGTAGAGGGCGTGAGGGGGAGCGGTTGTGGCAGGAGTACCTCGCAAGCAACGCCCACCCCTATGCACCGCTGTCCTTGTGGACAGTAGTGTGGCTGCTAGCTGCTCAGTCGCACGTTGCCCTTGTTGCCTCCTGTTGCCCTTTCCACCCCCCAGGCAGTTGCTGCTGGCAGTACATGCAATGCATCGCACGGGCATAGTGCATCGCGACCTCAAGCCAGAAAACATACTCGTTTGTAGCGGCCCCGGTGCTTGTAGAGGCCTTTGCACTGTAGCTGGGTGTAACTGCAGTGAAATTGAGGGTAGTAGTGCCAGCGTTGACATTAGAAGCAGTGGGAACTGCAGTGGGGGGAACAGAAGCACGAGCCAGGGATGTTCCCATTGCAGGGGGGGTTTCAATACAGTCACATCCAGTGATACGTCTTGCAGTGTGGCCACACCTCCCTCGTTGCAATCACTTGAAGCTTCCACAAGTTCAGTCTCTACTTCTACTAGACATAGCAGCAGCAGCAGCAGCAGCAGCAGCAGCAGCAGCAGCAGAAACGGCACAGGCAGCATAAGGGGAACTCCTTTCCAGTCTTGGCCCTCACCTACTCTCCCAGCATCCTCTCCCTTCCTCCCGCCTTCATCACCTCCCTCCCCCCCTCTCCCTCCATCATCTCCTTTCCATCTCTCACAAACCTCCCAGCCACCATCCCCCTCTCTCGCCTCCCATCCCTCCTCCCCCCGTCTTTCCCTTCCACCCTCATCTACCACCGCTTCCCTTTCTCCTCTTGCACCTCCTCCCCCTCCTCTCCCCCCTCTCTGCTCGTCCCCTCCTCCCACTCCGGTCACCACGGCAACCAGCCCCCCTGCGTGTCCCTGCACGGGCGTTCAAGTCAAGGTGGCTGATTTCGGGCTGGCAGCGACGCCCTCTTCTCCCACCGCGTCTCCTCCTCCTCATACCATCACGGCAACCAGCCCCCCTCCCTGTCCGTGCACGGGCATGCGAGTGAAGATAGCTGATTTCGGGCTGGCAGCAGCGCTGGCGCGCGGGCAGACAGCGGCGTGTGGGGTGGTGGGGTCGCCCTTCTATATGGCTCCTGAGATCATCCGGGGAAGGCCCTATGCGGGGGAGGTCGACATGTGGAGCCTCGGCTGCGTCCTCTACACCTGCCTCTCGGGTACGTTGCAATTTTTACACATGGTGTGGTAATCTGGTTGTCTGGTTCACACAGGAACACCCTTTTTAAGAAGCTGATGAGGAGGACATGTGAAGGTGCTGCCTGCTGCACATCCCCTACAATGTCCGGATCTTACCGCTGAACGTGTTTGCCATCTTTCAATCCCACTAACATTTCAGGTACTGTGCCTTTTCACGGGAGGACTCACCGTGAGGTTTTTGCTTCGGTGTTAGGTTCGGCGCCGGACTTGAAAGGCGAGGTATGGGAGGGCATTTCAAGGGAGGCTAAGCAGCTGTTAAGGTGTCTACTTGTAACTGATCCTGGGCGCAGGCTCAAGGCACATGAGGTGCTGAAACACCCGTGGGTCAGAGCGGCGTGTGGAGGAGAGTGTGGGAGCCATGAGAGGGAGTGGAGGAAGGAAACGAAGTGGGGGAACGGAGAGGGAGTGGTGCGTGAGGGGGGTTGTAAGACTGACTGCGGGAGTGGAACGGGTGTAAACAGGAATAGGAAGGGTGTTAGAGCAGAGAGGAAGGTGAGTGGTGGAGTGGTGCATGTGGTCGAGGCATGTGTGAAAGGCCATCCAGTGGAAGGCGAGGCTGGGCAGCATGACGTGGGGCGTGAGGTGTGTTGTCGTAAGTGCCTCCCAAGCAGTCCCAACAGTCGCTGCATGGGCAGCAATGCTGATGCGTGCTGTCAGAGCAGCAGTGCCGGTGCTGCTGACAGGCTAGCTACTCAGGAGATGGTGCGTGGGAGTGAATGGAGGCGCGAGGAAACAGAAGAAGAGGAAAAAATGCAGAATGGGCTGACCAGGGGGAGTGGGGTGACCAGGGGGAGTGGGAGTGGGAGGTGGAGGAGTAGCATTGGCACTGAGGCGAGTCACACTCACACCTCCTTGCCTTGCAATGCAGAACTACCGGAAGAGAGCAGACGTGGGAGTCACCGTAGAGGTGGAGAGGAGGTGGAGGGCAAGCAGGCGTGGTTGGAAGCATGGGTGCATGAATGTGCTGCGCACAGGTGCAGTGCGCCCCCACAGGTACACATCGCCTCTCCAGGTGGTGCTTTGCGTGCTGGCTGCTGTGGAAGTATCGGTCCCACTGACTGTAGCACCGTTGAGTGTACCACAGCTGACTGTAGCACAGCCAACTGTAGCACCGCTGAATGCAGTCCCACTGACTGTAGTCCCACTGACTGTAGCACCACTGACTGTAGCCCCACTGACTGTAGTCCCACTGACTGTAGCAGTGGTTGTAGTGGGGTTGGTGAGACTATATTGACTGGCAACCGCGGTGCTGGCAGTGGCAGCGGTGACGCTGGTGGTGGTGGCTTTTATTACAGCTGCAGTTGTTGTGGCAGTGGTGACAGGTGCAGCAGTGACAGCAATTCCAAGAGTAGATGCACTGGCAGCGGCGACAGCAGCAGTGAGTGCGTATGTACCAAGAGTGCAAGCAGTGATATGGGTGGTGGAAGAAGCCCCATATGCAGCACGGCTGGACGACACACTGGCTGCACTCACAGTCGCCTTGCTTGGAGGATTAGTGGAAAGATGTTTACGTGCTATGGCAGCGGAGGTAGTGGTGGTGGCATTGGCAGTGGTGGTGGCATTGGCAGTGCTGGTGGCATTGTCAGTGGTGGTGGCATCAGTGGTAATGGTGGTTTCAGCATGATGCACCAGATACAGGTGTCAAGTGGTGTGTGTGTTCTTTCAAGTTTCTTTGCTCTCTTCTGTGCTTGTGGTTGCAGCCGATGGCCATGGGTTGCCCTGTGGTTACGGATAGCAAGTTGTGTGTGTGTAACATTTGTACATTCCCCTGTTTTCCCAGCTGGTATTGGCTGAAAATCATAGCAGCTGATGTCAAAATGTTATACATTGCCTCTGGTAGGCTATATTGAGTAGGGCTGTGGGACAACATTAGTAAAATGCATTGTCTGGCTTTAAAACTAGCTTTTGGCTCCTTGCCTAATTGACAGACGAAACCTGTAACGTTGTCTAGCATTTCAGACGAATCTTGGGTAGTGGTCTGAGATTTCAGATGAAACTAAATGGTTAGTCCTAATAATGAACAACTATCCTTATAAGCTTTCCACACATACGGTATTCGTTAGCCTACAAACATCCTATCCTAAGGGGAAGAATCACTAGCACTGCTGCTTCCACTATCATCATCACTACCACTGCGACAGTCATCACTACCACGGCCGCTTTCGGAGGTTTCCTCTACTGTTGCTCTGACTTTGCCCTTTCCTCCAGGTAGGCAGTTCCCATGCTGCTTCCTCTACTTCTCTCTCAAGCAGTCATGTATTGATAGCGTTCAAAGAAGTACAGGCATGGCAGGTGGTGATCACTACCGTCATCGCCCGGATAGTAGACAGTGTTGAATAGTAGACATGGGTTGTCTATTATACGGGTGTCTCTTATAAACAGGCTAGCCTCATTATAAGACACCTATTTGTGTGTACGAGATAAGACATATATGTCTTATAATCAGGGCCTTAGATTCGTTTTGGGGTTGGCTGATTCGTCAGCCTTGGTACACAAATGTAGGCTGATGAATCAGTCTCAGCAAAAAAAAAATCGTTGGAATTTCAGAGTTACCTAGAAAAAAACGCTGGAACATCAGTGTCATTGAAAATAGAAGGCTGTTACTTTTTTTTTTAGTTTTTCCTACAGACAATTGCAACATCGTGTTTTAGGGCGGTACGTCATTATCGCTTTGCTCCTATGCAGGGTGCTTAGCACAGGTGCGGCCAAGATTGTCTTCGTGCTGCTCACCCCCCCTCCCCCCCCTCCCCCAGTGCGTTGTGCACACACTCGATGGCGGCCAAGATCAGCAAGTGCACCAGCTCTGCTCCTAACTACACGGTATGGGAGCAACGAAGAGATGGGAGAGTTCAAAGGGGAGAGGTGGGTGGGTAGGGTTAAAGCGAGGGTGCAGAGGAGAGGGAATAGATCATCAGTGCATCAAAGAGCTGCCAAGAGCTGAGCACGCACCAAAAAGGGTGGGAGGGGAAGGGGGGAAACGGGTATGTGGGACGTGAGCGTGGAAGAGATGGGTGAGTTGAAGCAGGAAATGTGTAGAAGAGCAAATAGGGCGGTGGAAGAGAGGAAACGATAGCACAGGGTCGAAGAAACCCGACAACACGGCATGGAGAATCCGCAGCGACGCCGCGGCGACGAGCTGGTGTAGCGACGGCAACGAACTGGTATCCGGGACGTGCAGGCGCAGGCGAAGGAAATTTAGCGAGCACGGTGACAAGCAGGCATCGGCGACGAGCAGGCGCAGATGGCGGGAAAGAGCAGGCGTCACGGCGCAGGTGACGGCGCGACAACGAGCAGGCGCGGGCTTAGGAATAGGCATGCATGGCTAGCACGGGTGTCAACGAATGAGGAAACTGCGTTGAGAGTAAGGCGACGAAAGTGTCTGTTATCAAACAAAGGCGTGGGGTGAAAGGGTGGACGAAGGGCCAAACGGACAAGCAAACGGACGTGTGAGAACGGGAAGTGGGTGGAGGTGAGTCTCTTGTGAGTCTTTGCTCGAATTCTGAGGTTTTGGGGTATGGTTGGTTTGAGGAACACTTGTGGGAGAATCGATGACTGGTATAGCATATCTGGGGACACCCGCAAATTCGGCGTGATTGACTGTGGGACTGTCGCACTGGTGTACAGTCCCTAGACATCCCAACCTCAATGCACCTACGCGAATCTCCATAACAGGGATTTCAGCCAACCGCCCCGTTACGACGCTGGTCAGTCAGTGTACACTACAGAAAAAAAGCTAAAATATCAGCCCTTACATCGAAAAAAAAATCTGAAAATTCAGCCCACACATTAAAAAAAAAGCTGACAATCAGCCCCACTATCTCTCCCAGCACTGAAAACACAGCCTTTTTACCCCTAATCAGCCTTTTTTCGCTGACTTCTGAGGGCCTGCTTATAATCGAAACTTCAATATACGGTATTGTAGCGAAAGTTGAAATACCGCGTACATTTTTACCCTTGCGAAGCGCGAATTCTGCCACGTGCTGACTCAGGTACTCCCAAATTTGCCTCTGCAAGTTTTCTCCATGACGTGGCGTCCCGGGCAGTGGTTGCCGAAGTGGCACCTTCGCAACATCCACACTCATTATGAGAAACTCTTTTCAAGATGTGTGAAAATATTTCTAAGCAGTTTAAAAAAGTTTCCATTTATAAGACTTATAAGACACCCTAAACCGTCCCAAATACATGATAAGCCAAGCATTTTTGTCCGTGTACGAGATGAGACATATATGTCTTCTATCCGGGCGATGACGGTAGTCTATTTTGAGTACGTGCGCGACCAGGTAGCTAAGCTAGCATGGCAAACCAGCAGGCAAAGCAAGGCAGAGCAAGCAAAGCACCTACACACCATAACACCAATCACTCAGGCAGGCCAATAACCAAGAACACCAGACCCTGATAGCCCCATATTTCTCCTGCTCTTGGGCTTCTCCCGTACTCTTGTCCCCTTTCCTCAGCCCTTCAGCTTCCTACCACCTTCCTGCCGCCACCTTTCTTCCCCCCCAGCCCTTTAAGCCGCTCTGGTAGGAGTCTGGCGCTCCTCGTACTCCTCCTCTTGCATCTACAAGAGGTCCCCCAGCCGAGGGGCCCAAGGGTCTGTTGCTGCTTGTGGGAAAGCCGCCTCTGCTGCCCGGTTCGACTTGGAGAGTAGTGACGTCGCCTGGCTGCGTTGGAGAATCACCGACCACCGCTGCCTATAGTGAGCCGTGAGACGTGCTGCAGTGGTGGTGAGGCGCCCCTGTCGGTATTTCTTCTTCGCCGCATGAGTAGCCATCATACGGAGAAACTGCTGAGTGTCAACCGCTAAGGCACCGTAGGTCTCAACCGCCTGGCCAAAGAAACCAACGGCGCGGTTGTCTCGTGAAATGTCTGGTACCCCGCCTCATGCGCCATGCGCAGGGCGGCGTACACCAGTGCATTGTGGGTGCGGACTGCATCTCCTCCGTCAGCGTAGCATAGCAGGTGATTTGCCAAACTCTTGTCTGCTATCTTGCAGTTCTCTCTCTTGCAGGGGCAGACCTCCGCTACCGGCAGTTCCATGCCAAGGCGCAAGCCTAATGCCAACGAGAACTGACCGGGGGATATTGAGAGGTCAGCCTTCGTGGGCACTGCATGGAGCCAGTCACCAGCTCCCACCCCTTTCAAAAAAATGAGCCGAATTGCATGGCCCCGATCCGCGCCTGGCTTATCGACGATGGTATCCGCCAGCAGCTCATCCGCCCGTTTTGTTTTTGTTTTTTTTTTTTTTTTTTTTTTTTTTTTTTTTTGTCGGAAGTACACTATATAGGTATACAACCACAGTCGTAAATGTTTCCATGGAAGACCTAGCTACTAACAAGTCTAGCAGCAAGTCCCCCAACATCCCCCTTATGGCGGTTTGTACCGTGCCCGCAGATCTTCCCAGATCTCACGGAAGTCCTCCTTCCATGACAGTTCCTTTTCTCCTGTAAAGGCATTGTTCAGGACTCTCGCTTCGTCAGAGGCGAGTGAGCGAGCCGCTCACCCTCTCAAAAGCCTTGTCCCAGGCCGGCCCCGCCTCACCATTCGGTGTAATCCATACTCCCAACAGCCGTTCCGGTTGTCCTGGTATCGCCACTTTGAAAGGTGTTACCCCTTGGAGTCTTCGCCTCTGGTTCCTCCCTAGCGGCATTAACACCGTTTTCTCCTGGTTGATGCACAGGCCTGACACCTCCCCGAAATCTCTCAGCACTTCTTCCGCCTTCGACACCTGAGCGAGCCCATTCAGCGCCAAGGTGGTGTCGTCTGCGTATCCCAAATAGGTAAGCTCTCCTTTCCCTCGCTTCCTTATTCCCAGCTTCCTCTTCCGTATCTCCTGACACAAAGGTTCCACTGCGCAGATGAAAAGGTACGGCGCTAGTGGGCAGCCTTGTGTGTGTTGATGGCTTTAAAGAGCCCCGGCTGCAGATTGCCCGTGCCCTTGTGGTCCTCCCTGTAGCTGCGGAGGACCTCCTGTGCCTGTGCTGAGAGCCATGCCTCCAGTGTGGTCAGTGGGTTGACTTGGGGAGGAGGTGGGGTCCATGCGGGGGAGAGCAGTTCACCAGCCATGTGAAATAAGTGGTCCGGCGGCAGGTTCAGTTGCTGCAGCAGGAGGTGCGCCGCTGCAGTCGAGGCAAGGTACACGGCCGGAGTTTCAGAAATGGGATCCCCCAACCGGACCGGAAGTGTGGCTTGGCGCCACAATAGGCTTTTCTCCAGCTCGCTCGGCGGGATTTGTAGCTTCGACATCGTGAGTCTTGCCCCCACCATCGATTCACTCCACTCCCTCGATTCCGTACGAGCTAGCGCCTCCGCCGGCGTTGTGCGAAGCAGGTACGAGATGCGGCGGGAGATGCTACGGGACAGCATGAGGAGAGCGTGCTACGGGTTCAGTTGAGGGACGAGGGGAAGCGGCGACACTACTTCCGTGAGTGCCGCTCGGACCTGATCGATGTAGAAAGCGTTGCTGCCTATCGGGCTGCCCAGCACCTTAATGCCGCCGGGGCGAGCAGGCAGGCCGTGGAGCAGATCAACCTCCCCCTCCTCGCTTATGGCACACCACGCTGCCGATTTGTCGGTATTGCACCGCAGTCCGCATGAAGCCGGTTCCGTCACGACCGTGTTGAAGGCTACACATGCTGCTTCGCGAGGCCCGATGATGGTGATGTCGTCCGCTTAGGCAACTATCGCTACCTAAGGGACGCTCGTGGCCACACTAAGCAGCATAGGCTGGATTGTCGCCGCAAAGAGGAGGGGGCCGAGCGGGTCTCCTTGGCGGACTCCCCTGGAGCTCTGTTGATCTACTTCGAGACGTGAGTCTACCAATAGGCGAGAAGGCCCACCCTAGAGGTTCCGGACAAGCGGGAGTAGCGGGTTGAGGGTAGACCACTAGAGGGCCGAGAGAAACGCTGTGCGTTCGACGCTGTTGAAGGCGTTCTCCACATCCAGCTCTACACTATTCGAGTCTCATCATCATATCTCTCTCTCAAGCAGTCATGTATTAATAGGATTCATAGGGTACGGGCATGGCAAGGCGTGGAACTAGACTAGACAAGGCATGCATGTGGGCAATCAACAACTTGGAATGCTAGGGTGCTAGCAACCGACAGAACAAAGCAGGTAGCCCGGATAGGCCGGATCCAATGCCGCCACACCAGCATAGCCTCCAAACTTCCTGCCGCCTAGGAACCCCCCCCTGTCCATCACCCTTCCACTATCCGTGGGCTCCTTGCCACATCATTCCCTTCCCCTGCAACCCTCTAAGCCGCTCCAGCAGGGGCCTGACGCTCCTCGTACTCATCCTCTTGCATCTGCCAGAGGTCCCCCAACCGGGGAGCCCAGGGGTCTACTGCTGCCTGTGGAAAAGCCGCTTTCGCTGCACGGTTTGATTTGGAGAGTAGTGATGTCTCCTGGCTGCGTTGAAGCATCACCAACACCGCTGCCTATAGTGTGCATTGAGACGGGCAGCAGTGGTGGTGAGACGCTCTTGTCTGTATTTCTTCGTCGCCGCATAAGTAGCCAGCATGCGGAGGAACTGCTGCGTATCGACAGCCAAAGCACCGTAGGCTTCGACGGCCAGGCCAAAGAAACCAACGCAGACAGGCCTTCCTTCATAAAGCCGGTGCTTAGACTGTGATGCCTCCTCTGCTGCCCACCCTAGCGGCTTCCGGGCCCTCTTGTCCCTCCTTTGCAGAACGGGGTCGGTGACTGTCACATCCGTCACCCAGGTCTCGCCCGACTCCTGGTCCCTGATGGCAAGGTCAGCCCGTTTGCGCAGGACCGGAGGCGAGAACGCGGTCGTCTCGTGGAAGGTCTTATAACCCGCCTCCTAAGCCATGCGCAGAGTGGCATACACCAGTGCTTTGTGCGTGCAGACTGCATCTCCTCCCTCGGCACAGCATAGCAGGTGGTTCGGCAGACTCTTGTCACCTATTGCTGCATTATCTCTCTTGCAAGGGCAGACCTCAGCTACCGGTAGTTCCATGCCAAGGCGCAGGCCGAGTGCCAACGAGAACTGACCAGGGGATAATGAAAGGTCAGCTCTCGTGGGCACCACATGGAGCCAGTCGCCAACCCCCACTTCCTTCAGATTGCATGCCCCCTGTCCCTAGTGGCTGGTTCCAGAGCCCATTATTCATTTTGAGTGTTCATTCTCTCCTAACCGAGCGGCTCGCGCTGGCCGCCTTCGGCCTACGGCCGCGCGTGAAGGGACGGCAAGCAAGGAACAAACAGCACCAACTTATAACACCAAGGCATACACACATGGCAGGTTTCCCCCTCTACTAGCGACAACATGGGGCAACCACGAGCGGATCCTACATCTGATCCGCGTCAAGGACGACGAGAAGACCCGTCAGAGAGCGATAAAGCTCGCGCACCACCACTGTGGTTGCGCCGATCAAGTCGTCTGCAGTCCCTGCGCGCAAAAATCGGCGCAGACCATGGACTGCCGTCCCAAGTGGTCCAACGCCCGCAACTCCACCCCGCACGGGCGCAACCAATACGGCCGCCAGGAGCTTGCCCAGCCGATCAGCGGCATCTAGGCATTCGTCCCGATGACCACCGTCCAGAGGAACACCCTGGGAGAGCGCCGCGTGACCATACAATTGAATCAGGTGAACAGCCCGCAGACCCTCAGCGAGGCGCCACATTTGCCCCAGGGACGCCTCCGGCACCACGGCAGAAGGAGATGGCCCCACCAGCGACTGTGGAGGTAGCGCAGCAGCCGGAGGAGCAGGAGCCACGGGCAGCAAAGAAGGATACGACGCCGTCACGGGTCCTCCTGCCGCGGGAGACTGAGATGCCGCCACAGGAATGGCGGCAGGAGGTGGAGCTGCAGGAGCCAGAACAAGACGCTGCGCGGCCCTCTCCTCGCGTATCGCCGCCGAGACGACACGCTGCATATCCGCAAGAGATACCGGCGGAACATACGTCGGGCCGCCGCCATAACCGCGACCCCACCTCCCACCCGCCACGACCGCCGCGATGCCAGTTCGCCTGTAGGCGGTTACGTTGGGAAGAGTCTCAGCGCCGACGCGACGACTCCCGCTCCTTACGAGGCGCAGGAGAATGGGGGCGCAAGGAGCGATGGCCAGGTGACGGAGGGCCCCGCGGCTGTCCCCCTGGCGCAACATCAGGCGCCGTCTACACGGCCACCGCCTGCCCACAACCGGGGCGTGGCTGCCAGTGGTGGCGGACACCGCCGGCGGCGACGATGCAACGGCTGGAATCACCGCAACGGGGACAACTGCGGCGAGCGGGGCAGCAGGGACGGAAGGAACAGTCGGCGCAGCATTTGCATGCGGGTGGCTCGGGGCAGCGTCTAGAGCACCAGGTCCAGGTTCCGGAAGAGCAGACGCGGGAGGTGGAGCCTGAGCCACAGGACGCGACTCAGCAGCCGGAAGTTCGGATTTTGGGAGACCATGGTCAGCGGCGACAGACTGCCCAGTTTTCAGGGCAGGAGGCAGGGGCGGCCTCGCCGCAGGATCCTGATGGGAGGGCGCAGATGGCTGTTTTTCGCTCGCCACTGACACAGAGACAAAGAGCATTGGCGACTGCTCAATCCCGCCTTCAATCACCATCTCGAGGAAGGGGCGGCCGAGGCCGTGGGAGACGGGCAACTAGCGGCGTGGGGGGCGGACCGGAGAACGCGTTTCAAGCAGCAGGGAGAGCAGCTTTAACTAGGCAAGAAGACACTGATGGAGTGGAAGAAAGGGCAGACCCCACTTATAGGGAAGAGCCAGAGACTCAGGACGACGGGAGCGATAGCGAGGGAGGAGAGGAAAGAGAGAGAGATGGACGAAGGAACGATGGTCCTCAGCGTCCAAGAGTGGCCCAGCGGAGGGAGGAGGGTGAACCGCATGATAGCAATTGTACGGTTGGAAATCCGACCCTGCCGACCCAGGTGACATCGGGCCGCGCCCAGACCATCCGAGCCGCGCATCGCCAATCCAATGCGCAACCACAACCACCCCGCTATTTTTCGCCAGAGGAACTGGCGATGCAGCAGAACAAATTTGCAGCAGTCGCAAATTGGGACCTCGTGCCTCTCTGCGACAGTCGTCAACCCCCGCTGTCACGCCGCCTACCGCCAAATCTGTGTCAGCCGTTTTCGCTGACTTTGTTGACTCCACTTCTACACCTGTCGCGAAACCCAAACTCCATTGCAGGTTGGCGCCTGTTACTGTTTCTCCCTCGCCTTATCCTGCGCCAACCCTCACCAAAGCGCCCTGACAAGGCCAAAATTAAGGCTCGGATTCGATCATTCCAACGTGGCGAAAGGGATCAGCTTTACACTGACGCCACGGAAGCTGTAAACACGCCCTCACCACCACGTCACCAACCAGTCGAGACCGGGGTCATCAGCAGAGCCGAAGGCCTGGCTAAGCGGGGGAGTCTGCGCCGGGCCGTACTGGCCCTCGAGTCAATGCCAGTATGCACCCCTAGCCCTCAAATTCTGACCGAACTGCGCCAAAAACACCCGCCAGCTGGCAGCGAGCCTCTGGTATGGCCATCCCACGACCAACCACAAAGCCTGACCATTTCCCACGCTGAGCCGCTGCGAGAATGGGGTGGGTGCTAGCCCGTATGGCACCACATTCGAACACCTGCGCGACGCCGCAGTAACAAACGCGTCCGTCTGCACACATCTGCACGCATTGGTCAACACCCTAATGGGAGGGAAATTACCCGAGCCTGTAGCAGAGCCACTCACGTTATTATGTTTGGTGGCGTTGGCAAAGCCGGAAGGTGGTGCCCGACCTATAGCGATTGGCGAGTGCCTGACTCGCTTGGCAGCAAAGGCGGCTCTGACGGTCATGGGAGAAGTTGCGCGGGGATTCTTCCTCCCGTTACAGTACGGTGTTGCAGTGCCGGGGGGAGATGAAGCAATCATACACACAGCACGTGCTTTCACTGACGCAAGGCCGGATTCTCTGATTCTGCAAACTGATTTGAAGAATGCCTTCAATAGCATCTCACGGCAGGCGATTGTAACTGCTCTACAGGACCCGTCCCTGTCGCCTCCGCTCCCGCTAGTCAAGCTAACGTACGGACAGCCGTCGCAACTACACCTAGACGCCGGTTTTGATACAGCACCACTTAGCAGTGAACGCGGGGTACGCCAAGGCGACCCCTTGGGGCCGCTACTCTTCGCCGGTGGCATCCACTTTGCGTTACGAGCGACGGCAGCGGCCCACCTAGACGTTTTGTGCCTAGCATACGCAGACGATGTCAGTTTCATCGGCAACAAAACTGAAACAGTCGCGGCA